TGGCTCAAGCGATATTTCTGCCTCAGCCTCCTGAGTAGCTGAGACTACAGGCATGCACCACCATGCCTGACTAATTTTTTTATTTTTTGTAGAGATGAGGTCTCACTATGTTGCACTGGGTGGTCTTGAATTCCTAGGCTCAAGAGATCCACTTGCCTCAGCTTCCCAAAGTACTGGGATTACAGGCGTGAGCCACTGTACCCAGACTTATTTTGATTATTTACCACAAGTTGTTTCCTACACCGAATTTTTCTTTTTCTTTCCTTCTTTTTTTTTTTTTTTTTTTTTTTTTTGTGCATCACCCAGGCTGGATTGCGGTGGCGCAATCACAGCTCACTGCAATCTCTACCTCCGGGGTTCAAGTGATTCTCATGCCTCAGCCTCCTGAGTAGTAGGGATTACAGGCATGCGCCACCATGCCCAGCTAATTTTTGTATTTTTAGTAGAGATGGGGTTTCGCTGGTCAGACTGGTCTTGAACTCATGGCCTCAAGTGATCTGCCCACCTCGGCCTCCCAAAGTGCTGGGATTACAGGCGTGAGCCACCGCACCCGACCCTTACCACTTTTTTTTTTCTTTTTTTTTTAAGATGGAGTCACTCTGTCGCCCAGACTGGAGTGCAGTGATGCAATCTCAACTCACTGCAAGCTCCGACTTCCAGGTTCACGCCATTCTCCTGCCTTAACTCCCCCTGTAGCTAGGACTACAGGCGCCCGCCACCACACCCAGCTAATTTTTTGTATTTTTAGTAGAGATTGGGTTTCAGGGTGTTAGCCAGGATGGTCTAGATCTCCTGACCTTATGATTCGCCCACCTCAGCCTCCCAAAGTGCTGTGATTACAGGCGTGAGCCACCGTGCCTGGCCCCTTATGACTAATTTTCAACCCAAATATAACCAGCTCATTTTCAGTGCCTTGTTTTCACATAGTCCATTACTCATCTGGTCAGTCAGTATTTATTAAGGGTCCAGAATAATATGCATTCCCTGTCCTCATGGAACTTTGGCCTAATATGGGGAAGGAGATCTTGTTTATAACTAAGTGCAGCAAAATGTTACTAATGCTACCCATTCATCCAATAAACATTGAGTGCCTAGCAGTGTTCTGGGCACTAGGAATGCTTTACTCAATGAAACAGACAACAGCCTGGGCAACATGGCGAAACCCTGTCTCTACAAAAAATATAGAAAAAAAAATTTAGCCAGGCATGGTGGCACGTGCCTATAGTCCTAGCTACTTGGGAGGCTGAAATGGGAGAATCGCTTGAGCCTGGGAGGCAGAGGTTGTAGTGAGCCACAATTGTGCCACTGCACTACAGCCTGGGCAACAGAGAGAGACCCTGTCTCCAAAAAAAAACAAAAACAAAAGGCCAGGTGCAGTGCGACGGCCCACGCCTGTAATCCCAGCACTTTGGGAGGCTGACGTGGGCAAATACTTGAGGTCAGGAGTTTAAGACCAGCCAGGTCAACATGGTAAAACCCCATCTCTATTAAAAATACAAAAATTAGCCGGACACGGTGGCTCACGCCTGTAATCCCAGCACTTTGGGAGGCGGAGGCGGGCGGATCACCTGAGGTCGGGAGTTCGAGACCAGCCTGACCAACATGGAGAAACCCTGTCTCTACTAAAAATACAAATTGGCCGGACGTGGTGGCACATGCCTATAATCCCAGCTACTAGGGAGTCTGAGGCAGGATAATCACTTGAACCAGGAGGCAGGGGTTGCATTGAGCCGCTGAAATTGTACCACTGCACTCCAGCCTGGGCAACAGAGCAGGACTCCTAAAAAAAAAAAAGAAAAGAAAAAAAAGCCCAGGTGTGATGTCTTAGCTGTAATCGCCAGCACTATGGAGGCCAAGGCGGCAGATCAGCAGTTTCAGGACTTGGAT